GTTAATTTGAGGTTTCGATGTTGTTTTAGGTGTTTTAAGGATTGGTACAAGTTTGGCGAGTGGTATTAGACTTGTTGGTGCCTTTAGTTGTGGTCCCGCGGGCCTCAGGATGATTTCGGATGGTTGGCGAGAAATTTAGAAGATGTTGCAACTGCTGTATTTTTGCTGCTTCTGGTATTTTCGCATTTGCGCTAGGGGGACCGCAGATGCGGCTAAGTAGCCGCAGAAGCGAAATTTTGATCCTCAGGAACCGCAGATGCGGTGAGTTGATCGCAGAAGCGCAATCGCTCCTGCGGTTAGAGTTCCGCAGATGCGGAATCTGGAATTTAAATGAAAGTCGCAGATGCGACGTAGTTTCCGCAGAAACGGGACCGCAGATGTGGTCCCAGGGCCGCAAATGCGGGAATCGCTAGGCAGAACCTATAATTAGTTGCCTTTGCAAAATTGAGCCATTCTTTCACCATTTTCATCCGAGTTTGAAGCTTTTGAGAGTGATTTTTTAGGAAAACAAAGGGGAAATCGCTTGGAGATTTGGGCCATTTGGAGTCGGATACTCGTGGCAAAGGCGTGGTTTCGGGTTGACTTGCACTTGTTCGAGATCCATGTACCTCTACTCAGGCTTACCATTCTTGAGGCGAGGCGATTTTACGGGACTTCGAGGTATATCTGCTGCGTCCGCAGACCGAGAAGTCTCTTTCTGTTCCTGCATCTAGTATTTTTCCCTTCTGTACTTTATGTTTTTGATAGACATTCCAGAGATTAGAGCTACGTAGTGTTTTTCTCAGCTTGTGGATCCGTGAGTTTCCGGGTTTTGGGATAGGGTATCAGATTTTGAAAAGTCGTGTGTATATGCCGAGCAGCATTTAAATACTATTTCTTTCAGTTATTCGGCTTTTGATTATTTATTCCGCAAGATTAGTTTATTTTTGCATTTGTTAGGCTTACCTAGTCGTAGAGACTAGGTGCCGTCACAATAGTTCACGGAGGGCGAACTAGGGTCGTGACAGTATTTTGGTTTCGGAAACCGATATAGGTCCAATACCACATTTATGACTTTTCTGTGAAATTTGATGAGAAACGGAGTTGGTTTGACGTGATTCGGACGTCCGATTGAGAAATTAGAAGTTTCATAGTTTTATTGAAAATTTCATTTGATTTGGTGTTCAATCCGAGTTCTAGGTGTTATTTAGGCAATTTGATCGCGCGAGCAAGTTCGTATGATGTTTTTAGACTACTGTGCACTTTTTGTCTAGAGCCCCGAGGGCTCGGGTGAGTTCGGATAGGCTACAGAGTGAAATTTGGCTTGGAAAGATTGCTGGTGTGTCTGATCTTGTTGCACGCCTTTGATCTCGCATTTGCGAGCTTCTGATTGCAAATGCGAAGAGAACGTGGGCCACACAGGATTCGCTTTTGTGAAATATTCGTCGCATTGGCGATGTTAGTCTGGGAAGGATTCTTCGCATTTGCGAAGACATGGGTCGCATTTGCGATCCTCAGGTTCCGCATTTGCGAACATTTTGTTCGCATTTGCCAAGGCAGCAGAAGTGGAGTTTCGCATTTGCGAAGCATTTCTCGCATATGCGAAGCCCATATCGCATTTGCGACATCTGCAGCTGGGTAAATATGACTTAGACGGGATTTTTTTCCCATTCTTTAAATTTTCAAACCTAGAAACATAAGAGGCGATTTTACAAAGACTCCTTCTCCCCCAAATCATTGCTAAGTGATTCTAACCTATCTCCTTTGAATCTTTTAATACATCTCACAAGTTTTCAACCTAAAATATAGAGTTTTAATGGTAGAATTGGGGGGTTTTGGGCAGAAACTAAGGATTTGATAAATTGGGAATTTAGACCTCAAATTGATGTTGGATTCCAAAACCAATTATACAACTGGGCTCGGGGTGTATGGGTAATCGGGTTTTGGTCCTAATTTTGAGTTTTGACCAATGGGGCCCAGGTGTTGACTTTTGTTGACTTTTTCAAAATGGCCTAAATTGAATTCTTTGCAATCGTAGGTAGTTCCTAAGCCTTAGTTTGAATAGTTTGGTTGATAATTTGCTATATTCTATTGGTCCAGAGGCTTGTTTGAAGGGAGAAGCCGTGGTTGAGCTTTGAGTTTGGTCGTTGAAGCGAGGTAAGTGTCGTGGTTAACCTTGGATTGAGGGATTAGGACCTATTCGTCTATTTTCTACGTGTTTAGATGTTGGGTACAACGTATAGGTGAGGTGACGAGTACCTATGCGTTGTTGTCGGGTTATAGCATGCAGGTGGGTCTTATTCTTGTAATTGCTGCTTTCCTTGATTATATTATCCATGCTTAGACTAGTTAATCGCTATGTTGATCGTTCTTATCATGTTTACGGACTTTGGTAATAACTGAGTATTGATTCAAAGTTGAGGTAGGTATTATGGAGCCAAATGTTGATGTAAGACTTGTTCTTGTTATTTCCATCTCCCTGTCGTTATTGTTCATTATTTTAGTAAGGGAGAGTGTTAATGCACGAAGGGTCATGCCGTGCCATATTTTGTGAGTGTTAATGCACGAAGGGTGATGTCGTGTAATATTGTGAGTGTTAATGCACGAAGGGTAATGCCGTGCCATGTTATGAGAGAGTTAATGCACGAAGGGTGTTGTCGTGTCGTCCTTATTGATTCATATGGTGAGGTTTAGAGTAAAAGCACGAAGGGTGATGCCATGCATTTTCCTTTACTGTGTTTTCTTGTTCCTATATGTCTAAGGTATATTCGTTGATCAAGTTCTTTTTACTGCTCTGATTCTTTATCTTGTGATCCCCTCAGCATGTCCCCCTTCTGATATTACTTGTCTAGCTTTTATTTGCCGTTATCTTTGTACATACACTGTTATACTGCACAGGTTTATTGTAGGTGTCTTGTTATAGCCTCGTCACTACTTTGTCGAGGTTAGACTTGACACTTACCAGTAAATGGGCTCGGTTGTACTGATTCTGCATTCTGCACTTCCTGTGCAGATTTTAGCTGCTGGATTCATCCGATAAGAGACCCAAGGTAGATCTGGTGGCGTCGGCAGACCTTGGAGTCCCTTTCTAGATATTTCATTTTACTGTTTCTTTCATTTCGAAAACAGTTGTATTTCTTTCAGACATTTACTTGTAGTGAAATCTTAGAAGACCGTGAATTGTGATTCCAGATCCGGGTAGTAGTACGTATATTTAGGTTGTTATGGAATTTTCGCATTTATTTTAACTCGTTATAGCATATTTGCTGTTAATTACTGAAAATTATAAGAATTGGCTTAATGATTCTCTAACGTTGGCTTGCCTAGCAAGTGAAATGTTAGGCGCCATCACGGTCTGGATGGTGTCCTTTTCAGTTTATGTGAACCTATATTTCCTTTTTGATCCGTTCCAAAAAAATGACCCCTTTCTAAATTTAGAAATAATTTATCTTAAACTTCCAGTTTTATCCTTAATGACAAGCTTTTATAGCCACACAAATACTCTGGAGCCCTTTTTGACTTGTTTAGGATTACAAATTCTAAAAGTCTTCATTATTTCTTAAACTTCGTGCGTAGTCAAACAGGTTCGCATAAATTGAAACGGAGGGAGTTCCTACTTATTAGAAGAGGGAACACAGGCACCTCTCCGTCAACGTGTGTGTTCCCTTGAATTTTCTAATTTGTCTTGGGGTATTCCTGTAATTTATTAATTTACAACTCAACCTTATAGTTGCTGACTCTTTCTGCCGTCGCCGAACACGTGGACTCCCAATTCGTCAAAGCTAAAAATTCATTCAACAGAACATGCTACAAGCATCCACTTCCAAGTTGAGCATCCATTGCCCCCAAAATCCAGCAGACCTCACTTGCTAATTCAACGAATTTAGAGAAGTTAGCCTTTTTGGATTCACATCTACCACAAAGGGCAGGTTTATTCCAATCACTCCAGCATTTTATTTTATTTATGCTTTCTGTTCTACTTTTTCTTCTTCTGCAAAAAGATCAGATCTTTGGGGTTTTGACTTGATTAGCAATCTTTTCTTCAGTTTAGTCTTAAGATCTGTTTCAGAAAGCTGAAAACAAACTGAGGTTGGGTTCTGATTTGTTATTTGTTTTTATTAATTTGTTTTCGATTTCTTATGTGAATTCTAAGTTGTCTTCATTTTTTTCCTGATATTCTACTTTCTTTAAATCTTTAAAAGATTTTGGCAGAATGGGAGTAAAATTAAAAATGGGACCCAAATAACAATTATAACAATTATAACAATAGAAATAACGAGATTGAATCCCTGACCGTTATAACGAGACCCAAAAAGGGGAAGAAGTGAAGTAGAAGAAGAGTAGCGGAAGTTGCCATTGCCAAATCCTCGATCCCCACGGACCCCTTCTCTCAAATCACATATAAGTACTATTTTTATAATTCTGCAGATTCAGATTTAGAAAAATAAATAAAGAAAATAAATAAATAAACGAATACAAAAGCAAAGTGTCATTCAGATTCAGATGGTATGATTTCAAGAACCATTCAACAATTCTCTTCCTTCAATCTTAGGTAATGAAAATCCTACAGTGTTTTCATAAAATAATTTTCTTAGTTTCTTTTATTTTGCATTACCGTTCTTTATTTATTGTATTTAGATTTTACAAGTTTTTGGATTAGTGAAATTGAGTATAATGTTATGTAGATTTTGGTTATGTTAATTAGTATGACTGTCATTGTAAAATACTTATCTGATCAAGTTTAAGCTATTTGGTGAGATTCATAGTTAATGTTTCTGTATAACTGTGGGCTAATTAGTGACACCATTGTTTAGGTTATAGATTTAGATGAATTGGTGATTTAGGAAGAGAAGAGTGATACAGTAATTCTTTTTTTATTTATAAAAAGGTTGGTCTTTAAAAGATTGAACCCCAACGGGTTATTACAACTCTATTATTTACCAGTAGAATGAACAATAAAATTTGTTACTTAGGGTCTGCTGACGCTTTTTTTGGTTTAAATGTTCTAAATGCAGTTATCTTGCGGTACCAAGCTTGTGAAAAAAAAATGTATCCCGGCCAAAGAAACAAACGGCCATATGCAGAACATACAAACTCTGACAAGAATGTCAGAAGACGTGATATGTATGGGCAAATATCGCCTGATAAAGGCAATGTTACTACAACGCTGCACCAAAGAACTTGAGCTGCAAAAATGGAATAGCTCCATAAGATCGACAGTTGATCCAGATGAAAGAGTAAGGTATCAATGTCACCCTATGATTCGAAAAGATAGTGCTCTTATCATAAGAGAGGCTTCTTCTATTGACGACGAAGGTTAGACTGAATTATTCCATTTTATATAAGTTATGTTAGTGTAGCAGCGGACATATAAATATTCATATTTTACTACGTAATTATTTTATAAGCAGAGCAGGATATCACGTGTTTACTTGAATATATTAAATGTAAAATGTGTTTCATATTTGTCGCAGTTGGCAGCAACCATGATGTTAATACTTCCTCAAGTTCTTTTGATAAAGGAAAAAATGCCACCCATGCGTTTTCTGTATTTGAAAGAGGTAAAGCTAGAATGTCTATAAACATTTTTATTAGTATGTCACGGCTTAGGTGTACATCTAAATTGTGACAATTTGTGTCCCAGGATGAACATCGCGTACATCTAAGGGACAACATAATGTCTTCGCTACTGCCACAAGCAAAGGTTAGTATTTCTTTTATGCTAGAGTAACACTATTTGTTAGTAGAATATTTTGCATCTCTTTATTTTTAACAATACTTATAACATATAGGTTGTACCTTGACCAAAGTAATCCATAAGAAAAATAATGACAAAGATGCGGATTGTGCACGATTAAAACCTGTTCCAAACTGTAAATTTTGCAATGCAAAAAGGTTTCAATATGAACCTTCTGGATTTTGTTGTGGCAGCGGGTCAGTTAAGTTAGTTTCATATGAGCTGCCTAATGAATTATCAGATTTGTATAAAGGCAACACTGAAGAAGCTAAGCACTTTCGAACCTACATTGGAACATACAACAATATCTTTGCCTTTACGTCACTTGGTGTAACCAACGATAAAGAATTGGCGAGGAGATATCATGGTATATATACGTTTCGAGTTCAGGGACAAATGTATCATTTTATACCTGATTTACTTCCTTCTGATAAAAAAGGAAAGAATATGCAGTTATACTTTTATGATAACAAAAATGAACTGGCTAACAGAATGGCTTGTTCAAGAAATGACAACGAATCAATTGTAAAGAAACTTATGCATGTGCTATCAATTAATCCATATTCCATTTTTTTTAAAATCCTTGACAAACATTCCGAAACTATGCGACTGCTATATCGCGCTTAAATGTGAATCAAAGTCAGATCAACGTGTATATAATCCACCAACTACAACAGAGGTGGCTGGAATATGGATACATGATAACGCTGCCGATATTGTTTCTACGCCTCATATTCGTATATACACACGTAGTGACAAGATTCAGTCAGTAAAATATTACTATGGATGTTATGACCCATTGCAATACCCGTTGTTATTTCCATACGGTCAAAACGGATGGCATTGTGGTATTAAAAAAATCACTCGAAGAGATCAACGTTATTGTAAACATGAAGAATTACCGAGTGTAAAGAACATGTGTTCCATTGATGGATTTCTTGATATGGAAGCTCAAACTATTGAAAAAGGAAAACGGAAAAGAGAGACAGTTTCTTGCCGTATGTACTATTGTTATAAATTTCAGATAAGAGAGGATGAAAAAAATGAAGTCCTACATTGTGCAAGATTATTTCAACAATTCATAGTAGATGTGTTCATAAAGCTAGAAACACAAAGATTAGATTTTTAATTTTTTAATCAAGATTTGTTTCGAATAGATGTGCTACAAGGACTTATTGATTTTTTATGATTTAGGGAAATAGAAGCTTCGAAGATTGGGAAGAAAACATTCCTCCATATTACTTTTATAGGAGGGCCAAGAGATATGCGTCGACGGTATATGGATGCTATTGCAATAGTGCAACGTTTTGAAAAACCTGATATTTTTTTTAACTATGACATGTAATCCGTCTTGGCCAGAAATAAAACAACACTTGTTATCAACGGATGAAACTCAAAATAGATCTGATTTAGTATCACGAGTATTCAAAGCAAAAGTAGAAGAATTAAAAGCAGATATCTTGAAAAGAAAAATCTTTGAAAAAGTTGCTGCTTTTATGTACACTATAGAATTTCAAAAACGTGGTCTCTGCATGCTCATTTTCTTATCATACTTAGTGATGAATACAAATTATTAACACCTGAGTCTTATGATAAGTTTGTTTGCGCTGAATTGCCTGATCGTAATACCAAAGAGCACCTTTATTCACGCGTGCTTCAGCATATGATGCACGGACCGTGTGGTGATTTATATCCTACAAATTCATGTATGGGAAAAAGGGGGCTTTGTAAATTTGATTATCCAAAAGATTTTGCTGAGCAAACATCAAAAGGTAAGAATTCATATCCAATTTATAGAAGACGAAACACAGGCGAAATTGTACATATAAGGGAACAATATCTGGACAATTCATGGGTTGTCCCATACAACCCTTACATACTTTGTAAGTTTGATTGTCATATGAATATTGAAGTTTGTTCTAATATTAAAGTTGTAAAATATATTTACAAATACATTTGCAAAGGACATGATAAAATTGCTTTTTCTATACATAACAATGAAGAAATAGATGAAATAAAAGAATATCGATCTGCTAGATGGGTAACACCCCTGAAGCGGCATGACGTTTATTTGGTTTTTCTATTAGTGAAATGACTCCGAGTGTTTATCATCTTCAATTACATTTAGAAGGGCAACAATTTATTTTCTTTAAAAGTAGTGAAACTGTTAATAGAATTTTAAATAATCCGATGATTAGAAAAATAATGTTGACTGAATTTTTTGCTATGAATGCAACTGATGAACATGCTATAGCTATGCAATTATTGTACAAGGAATTTCCGAAATATTTTGTATGGTCTCCAGGATATAGAACGTGGACATGTCGCCAAAAACGTAACGTAATCGGACGTGTTGTAACATATCACCCAACAGAAGGAGAGAGGTATTATCTCAGGTTATTATTGATGAACGTGAGAGGACCTAAATCATATGAAGATCTTCGCATCGTTAACGAGGTACCCTGTAGTACATTTAGAGAATCAGCAGAAAAAAGAGGATTATTATACTGTAACAACAGTTTAATTGAATGTATGTCGGAGGCTGTAAGCTATCAAATGCCATATTGCTTGAGACGTTTATTTGCGACATTGTTAGTATATTGCAATCCTGCTAATCCAAAAATATTATGGGAAATGTTTGAAGATTCAATGTCCGAAGACTTTAAACATTTCTCTGATTTTGAAGAAAAAGCTGTTCGGCACAAGGTTTTAAGCCATATCAATGATATCTTGTACTCTATGGGACACGATATAAATGAGTATAAACTTATTCTAGAGAAGATTAGACCTTCTGAAAGGATGCAAAGGATGTTCATTTTGAAAGAAATATAATTGTTAGTGAACAAGACTTGCTCTTACCGAAGAGATTGAATGTTCAACAATTACATGCATATAATACAATAATCAATAAAGTATTTTCTGGAAAACAAGGAGCTTTCTTCATCGACGGTCCTGGAGGAACAGGTAAAACCTTTTTATACCGTGCATTATTGGCAACTATCCGGTGTCAAGGATTTATAACTTTAGCAACTGCAACTTCTGGTGTGGCAGCTTCTATCCTTCCAGGAGGACGGACTGCTCACTCACGGTTCAAAATGCCTATTGATATAGATGATAATTTTTGCTGCAACATTAGTAAACAAAGTTCAGTCGCACGTTAATTAGAGATGCAAAATTAATTGTATGGGATGAGGCATCAATGGCAAAAAAGTATATGATTGAAGCTCTTGATGCACTTCTGAGAGATATTATGGATGCCGATACAATGTTCGATGGTAAAATTATTGTATTTGGAGGTGACTTTAGACAAACTCTACTAGTTGTTCGAAATGAAAAAAAAGATGATTTTATTCACGAAATCTTATTGTATTCTGAAATTTGGAATAAACATGAAAAATTGTACCTATCTGAAAATATGCGCGCAAGAACAGATCCTTCTTTTTGTGAATATTTACTCCGAATTGGAAATGGAACAGAAAGAACTAACTGTGAAGACAAAATAGAGATTCCTGATTCTTTTGTTATTCCTTTTACGACCGAAGAAGAATCCTTAGATGCATTGTTTAGTGTAACGTATCCTGATTTGCATGCATTTTCTCCTGATTTATCTATGATAACCTCTCGTATTATTTTAACAACGAAGAATGACTTTGTAAATGAACTAACACGAAATCTTATTGTATTCTGAAATTTGGAATAAACATGAAAAATTGTACCTATCTGAAAATATGCGTGCAAGAATAGATCCTTCTTTTTGTGAATATTTACTCCGAATTGGAAATGGAACAGAAAGAACTAACTGTGAAGACAAAATAGAGATTCCTGATTCCTTTGTTATTCCTTTTACGGCCGATGAAGAATCCTTAGATGCATTGTGTAGTGTAACGTATCCTGATTTGCATGCATTTTCTCCTGATTTATCTATGATAACCTCTCGTATTATTTTAACAACGAAGAATGACTTTGTAAATGAACTAAATAATATGTTAGTCACTAAATTTCCAGAAATATCTAAAACATTTGTTGCAGTAGATGAAACTATTGAACCGAACGATCAAAGTCAGTTTGAAGATTTTCTACATAGTTTAGATCCTCCCGATTTACCGCCTTATAAGTTAACTTTAAAAGAAAATTGTCCAGTTATACTATTACGAAATCTGAATCCTTGCGAAGGTTTATACAACGGCACACGGTTGACATGCTATCACTTTAAAACACATGTCATAAGTGCTAAAATTGAAAGTGGTGATTTCAAAAATACACATGTATTTATTCCGAGAATACCATTGTAAACATCACAAGATGAAAAAATACCTGTTCAGTTTATGCGAACACAATTTCCCCTACGATTGTGCTTTTTTATGACCATAAACAAAGCTCAAGGTCAAACATTAGACTTTGTTGGAATTTACTTACGTGAACCTGTTTTTTCTCATGGTCAACTTTACGTTGCTTTATCAAGAGCCAAAAGTTCAAACTGTGTTAAAATACTGATTCGACCATCAACAGCTGACAGTAATGATGATCATTCAACATATAATGTCGTTTACGACGAAATTATTCAGAAAGCTTTCTCGTAGGAAACTTAATGATCTTTTGCTCAACAATAAAAAAAACTATGTTTTTAACTCCGCCTTTGTTTCAGTGACACTACTGCACCACAGCCGGTCCCAAGCCCGAAAAAAAGAGGAGGATTTACTGTCTACCTATGCTTTGCAATTCTAAAATGCAGGATGATTAGTGAAGCAACATACATTGGATCTTCCAAAACCAATAAGGTATATCTGTTTCAAGGTTCTTCCGAGTTACTTTATTACAATTCTTTTCCCCATTCTATGCGCCTTTAGTCGTAGTTATTTCTTTTATGATTCTATATTTAGCCAACAAAAATTTTGAGCTGGACCAAATAGGTTGCGCGTGGGGCATCATCTCGCCAGCAAATCAATTATTTGGGCATGACGCATACATAACAACCATCAAACATGTTACAAGGTCTGTAGGTTCAATTATTATTTCCTGTTTCATATCTTGCATCAGAAATATTTAATGTGGATTATCTACAGCTCAAACGCGATATTGGTTGTTTTGAGTATTATGAATCGTTTATGTTTCTCTTCAAAATTCAGTGTTTGAATTTAAATCTACTAGATATGAAGATATCAATTTCATGTTAAAACTTGCTCTATACTTGTAATCATTTCCTTTCTGTTTTATAAATTAACTAGCTTTTTTTTTTGTGCTAATATTTTTTTTTTCCACCAAGTTTATTTTTTGCTATTTGAGGAATAATAATAAAGTGAAAGTGAAGAGTAATTAAGCGCTTACCCACCTTTTTTTTCCAGTATTCATATTTATTTTCCTTTTTTTTGCCAATCTACACTATAAAAATCAGTTGTATTTTTCCCATCTCTACTGAGTCAATGTTTGATACCTGCAAATGAAATCACTGGTCAATGTGAGGTGGGATAGAAATGTTCTCTGGAGGGGTTGCCATGGAAGAGGCACAATTCTGCCCAAATGGAAAAAACATTTACGCATTTCCAAAAAGTTCTTTTTGAATGAAGAATTGTAATTTTCCACTTTGATAATAATATCCTTTTACTAATTGGCTTCTTTCCTTTTCAAAGAATCCAATTTCCTGTGAAAGATGCTTATTTGTTTCTAACTAGCTCACAGGAATATTCAAAATGTTAAATAACAATTTACACTTCCAGCTTTTCTGGATTTATCTATGGGATGTTGGAGTACACGCTTTATGAAATGTTTGCCATGTGGATGTTGGAAGGATAAGCAAAAGCAAACCTGCTGAAGTGGTACTTTCTGTTTGCATTTTCTGTGTGTTAACCTTATTTAGCCCTCAATCTTATCTGTACGCATGATTGAGTGACCATTTTTGATTTATTCCTTGCAAATATATAATTTCTAACTAACTTCTGAGCTGTTCAGCTACGAGGTCGCATACTAAATCTTCCTAATTGAGACTTGTACTATCCAGATAAATTACGTTTTAAGGTTATTTGTACATCTTTGTTCATTTAAGTTGGCTCTTCTAAATTTTACTGCTTGCATTGTATCCGTACAGTTACCTCCTCATGAACCTTTGTTGGTACAAAGAGCTGTCAACCATTTTCTACTGGTTTAGTACTTCATAACAGCAGTAGTGTCGGACAAACTAGCTGAAACAATGCTTTTAATGACAGCAGACCAAGTATATGAAACTACCTTTGCCCAGGTGCATATACTGCCAACTCCAGAATTATTTTGCGTGACTCCAAATTAGTTTAGAGTCTTCACTTAACTCATTATGTAGAAAACTTATTCCCAACTTATTCCCACAGAAACAACTGTTACATGTTGAGCATATCAGAGAGCACTTGCTAAACAAGCTGTTCAAAATTCATTTACAAAAAATACTACATAGAACACCAGATAGACCACTTGGTACCTTTGTTATCATATCTTACAGGCAAAAACATACCGTGTTCGGCTCGGCACAGTCTTCAACATCAACTACTATTGGTGAGGTGTCACGATCCCAATCCAGGTCGTGATGGCGCCCAACACACTACTAGGCAAGTCCGACCAATTAACAACCTTAACCCAATTCATTATACAGTTCATTATTAGCTAACACAATTAAATTACCAAACCAACATAATAGAAGTCTGAAATAAGAGTTAAATGTGCGGAATTTCAAATGACAACACTACTACATAGCCTAATAGATCCGGTGTCACAAGTCTGAGCCTCTAATACAGGGTTATCAATCTAATACATGGCACTCTAGGGGAATACGAAATAAAAACAAAGGATAGAAGAGAGAGATCAGGGTTGCGGAAGCCATGCAGCTACCTCGATGCTCCCAGATATGCGCTGGTCAACAGAGAATCCTCACTCAGCCTCAGATGCACCTGGATCTTCACGCAAGGTGCAGGAGTAATGTGAGTACTCCGAACCAGTGAGTAATAAGTACAAATAAAGGCTGAGAATAAGAAATCATGGATAAACACATTGTAATCTATAATACGGCAGTTTAAACCAAGTAGCATGAAATCAATAAAACACTAAAGTAGAAACATGCAAAATCTACAACAGATAAGCAAATAAATGACAGCTAAATAAAGGAATGCAGCACATAGTACGATACTATCTAGTACCCGCTGCGGCGTGCAGCCCGATCCATTTATTTATCGTCGACGGCGCTCACTGGGGGTGTGCAGTCTCCGGGAGGGGCCCCTTACTGACCAAGCGCAATATCAAGCCATCTCGTGGCATCAGCTAGGCCCTCGGCCTGGTATCAATATCAATATAATACTGCTGCGGCGCGCAGCCCGATCCATACTCAGTCCAGAAATCACATAAGCCCCTCGGGCCATAATAAAATAGTAGTTCTCAGCCCAAAACATCATTAGAAATTTCATTTAAATTTCAAATCGGAGTAAAAGTGACCGAGTTTGTAAAACAGTATTAAACAATAGGACTGAGTTCAAGTAATATGTCAAAATAGTGAGAAAACAGTGATAGCAATCCTCGAAGGGTTCAAATAATTGGCATGAAGCCCAAATATGGCAATTAGTCAAATAAAATGATGATACCAAATAAGCTTCAATCAATTACGTGGTAAAAACATCAGTCGGGACGGACCAAATCCCAATCCCCAATAGTAAACGACCCCGGGCTCATCATCAAGCGTGTGTCTCACCTCAATATAGCACTACGATGTGCAAATCCGGGGTTTCAAACCCTCAGGACATCATTTACATTCATTACTCACCTCAAACCAGCCAAAATTCTAGCTCGCTATGCACTTGCCTCTCAAATCGGCTTCCTCGCACATCGAATTTGACCAAAACCACAATGAATACGTCACAATAGGCTAAGGGAACAAAACCCAAGCGAAAACAATCGAAAAATATCAAAAATCCCGAAATTAGCAAAATCCGAGCCCCGGGCCAACTTCTAGAAAATCAAAAATTTTCACGTCAACGGGTTCCTTATCTCGCCACGAGTCTATGCATATAAAGAACACCAAAATCGGAGTCCAAATGACCCCTCAAATCCCAATTTAAAATCTCAAAATCCCAAGCCCTAGTTCTTCCATCTTTAGCTAAATTTTCATGAATTTCTAGGTTGATTCCACAGTAAAATCACGTTTTTGGTTCATAAAACTTACCTCCAATCGATCCTCTTCGAATCCCTCTTCAGTTTCTCCCAAAGATCTCTCAAAGTGTTCAACAATGGAGGAAAAATGACTTAACCTCGCGGAATAAAATGTTTAAAACTTTCTGCCCAGCTACAGGGCTTTCTTCTATGCGATCGCGAAGACCAAAAATCTTCTGCAATGACTGCTGCATTTTCTGCAATTCCTCCAAGTCTCAAAACCTCCCGATGGCCATCCGAAATCACCCCGAGGCCCCCGGGACCTCAACCAAAAACACCAACGCGTCCTAAAACATCATTCGAACTTGCTCCAACCATCAAAACACCTCAAACAACACCAAAACCATCAAATTACATCGAATTCAAGCCTAAGTTCTTCTAAAACTTCCGAAACACGAATTTGATCAAAAACCCAACCAAATCATCTCCGAATGACCTGAAATTTTACACACACATCCCAAATCACACAACGAAGCTACAGCAGCTCTTGGAATTCTATTCCGACCCTCGGATCAAAATCTCACCTAT